CCATCTGGAGATCATCTGCTACATCCTGCACCCATCTTCTCCTTGGCCTTCCTCTTCCTCTCTTCCTAGGCATATACCCCTCCATTATTGTTCTCTCTAGACTTCCATGACGTTTCAAGTGACCAAAATATTTCAATTTTCTTTGTTTTATTGTCTTTACTAGCCAACCCTCTTCAATATTCAGCTCTTGAAGTATGGATGCATTTGTTCTTTTCTTTAACCAAAATATTCTTAGAACCTGTCTGTAACATTTATATTCAAATGCATTTATGCGCTGTTTAGTAAGTGTCCAGGTCTCACAGGCGTATGTTGCAATGGGAAAGATGCATGCTCTTAAAAATCTGACCTTTGTAATTCTATCTGTACAATTCCATAATTTATTCAGTTGTTTTAGTCTTTGAAGAGCAATTGATAGTCGCCGTTTAATTTCTTTCATTGTGTCACCATTGTTGGTAACCAGTGACCCAAGATATTCGAAATTTTCCACCACTTCCAATCCTTCCTCATTAACATATATTTCCTTCTCCATGGCAGTTTTGTTTGTATGCATTATCTTTGTTTTTGCTATGTTAAGAAATAAGTTATGATTTTCACTATTTCTTTGGAGTGAGGTTAATAAGTTTTCTAAACCATTTTGTGATGTTGATAGTAATACTGTATCATCAGCATAACGAATTTCTGGTATTTCATGACCACCGATGTTTAGGGCATCATATTGTTCCTTGTTTATATAATCTCTTACATTTCTCATTATATTTTCGGCGTACAGGTGTGTACAGTCTAGATCAGCCAAATAACGAATAGGCACACTAACCACAAGTCATAATCTGAACCAAAAACAACTGGAACTATGATTACCACATTGAATATTAGTTTATTTCACTTAACATAAAATCAGCGTAGTTCACAAATAACAACATTAACAACAACTAACGTGCTTGACCAGAATCTAAAGAGATCTCAGGCTAACAAGGAAATATGATAATGACATCATATGCTCAGCGAGATAACCTCAACAATGGCAAAAACCGAAGCATATTTAACATGTACATTAAGCTTCAATATGCCACTAGACAAACAAATCACTTATAGCGACTTGCCATCCTAGCGAGGATACACAATGGAAATCAAATCTAACACCACCTAATCAAATAAAACGTGTGTGAACCAGACTAGATGAAGGTATTGGCCGCCGAACAAATCAGAATCGTCAAGCTGCTCAACAGAAGTCTTTGGCGTTCTCCAGCCAATCACATATCCACCCAATATTTTTGTTGACAACCGATAACAATTATTGTCTTTAAAACTTCCTCCTTGTTCTACATCTCACAGAGTTACTGGCCATGGCCAACTGAAATAAAATCCTCCTCCTGACATAACGTAATCACTAGTTACTTGCTCCATTATTTATTAACATACGCCCAAAAATAACTTTCATTGACATATGAGCAAAGCTTAACTCGTCCCAAGAAAACTGGATAACGAACGTATAAGTCCTAAATAAGAAATTACTTCCAAGATGGCAGTAGTCATGAAACATCCAGGGATAATTTGCGTTCGAGTTTCAGTTACCATCTGTAAAATCACTAAACCCCCCCCCCCCCCCCCCACCCCTCCTCATTTACATTAATGATGATGATATAATCGGAACACGTTAGCATGTGCGCTAGTGTCTGAGACACCAACAGAGTGGAATAAACCCCCACCTAATCCGCTCCTCGGTTGAACAATGTGTTTAAACACAGAACAAATAATCACTGACACACAAAAAGCAAAACCTAAAATTTTTTTTTTTTTTTTTTTTTGTTTTTTTTTTTTTGTTTTTTTTTTTTTTTAAATTGGACTGCAATAAAATTTAAAAAAAAAAAAACATAGTAATCAGCTAACATCAGGATTCTTGATTAGTTGGATTTCCTCTCAGACATCCAGTAATTCTTTGCAGATAAGTACTCTGCGCTGTTTATTACATTACATTAGACTGCCTCCAGTCTTGTCTCGACCGCATGGCCATCGAAAGACATATCGGACATTACCTCGGCTTCGGGAAAGCGTCCAAAAGACAATTCGGTCACTATCTCGGCTCTGGGTGAGCCTACAACGAACATCGGACATAACGTCAGCTTCGGGGAAGCATACAATCGACTGAATTCTGTCTCAGACGCATGACCATCGAATGATATATCGGATATTACCTCGGCTTCGGTGAAGCCTACAAACTGACATTTTTGGTCAGTAACTTGGCTCTTGGTAAGCCTACAACGGGCATCGAACATTACCTCGGCCGAAGGCCTAAAAATTGACATTGTCTTGGCTGCAAGGCCATCGAGAGACATATCGCACTCTTGTCTCTGCCGTATGGCCATCAAGAGACACGTCACCACTTTTGCCGATGTCACAGCCGCTCGTCCACCAAGAAAAAATCTTCTCGTCACTGCCACCGCCGCGTGGCTTCCGAGTGACATTTCCACCACAATTACCTCGGCTTTGGGAAAGCCTACAGTGACATTACCTTGGCCGCAGCCTACAATGTATCGACTGGTCACAACAATGTTTAACAACTTTATTGCGTAACTAGCTCGGTCGGTGTACTTCACACAAGGCTCCCTAATAGTAGAACTAAACTATTAGGTAACAACTAGGGCTGTACCGAATATTTGCCTTGTATTCGCTTCAGGGCCGAATAGTGGACCTAATAACTATTCGGTATTCGGCCGAATAGTTGCGGTCGAGCCGAATACGAATAGTGGTTACCTTACACCCGTTTCTGGACTGGTGGAAAATAAACATATCAAGATTTCCCACCTTAGTTCATACTGCGAATCGTTATCTCTGTGCACCACTACGAGCGTACCAAGTGAACGTATGTTTAGTACAGCTGGAAATACCTTCAGTGAGACAAGAAGCTGCCTTGTTGCTGACAACATGGAACGATTTTGTAAAGCTAATGCCGCTTTCATGGCTTAACTAAGCTGTCACTGACAATTTACAAGTTAAGTTACTTGTTATAAAACTAAGAATACTTTCATTCCGAGGTATTAGTTACCACAAACTGACTGACTGAAGAATACAAAATATGAAATGTTTTTGAATGTTTACTATACTGTACTACATTTTGCTACATGCTGCAGGAGATCGCGGATTGTGGAGAGGCATAATCGCCCATGCCAGTCGGCAAAGCACCTGATGATGATGATTCACTATTCGTATTCGTATTCGGCCGAATAGTTGGTCCAGCTATTCGTATTCGGCCGTAAAGTGAAAATCACTATTCGGTTCCTACACAGGCCGGACCTACACAAGTTCTGAACCTAATGTGAATCATGAATTTCAATGGGTTGAAATGAATTCTGTCCGTATTCCATAGTCGTGGATTTCAAGCTGTACGATAGACATGGCCAATGAGACACCTTTTTTTGGGGGTGCCGAGTTGACCATGTATCTTAGTGCACTTGTATTCATGGCGAGGCGCAGACGCCGTCTGGAGGTGACAGGTTCAATTCCCGGCACGGTAACTATAGCTTTCGATTTTTATGTTGTCTAGTGTGTTCTTCTATCTTTCTACTTCTTTCTATGAGTGCCGTTCACAATACTTTCTGTTACTTGATTAATTCATAATATTTAACGGCTTCAAATGGTTCCCCCCTCTGTTTATTTATACTAATGTGAATCAACATGATAATCTGAGCCGACTAGACTTGTCAAATCAAACCACTCTGCAACGCTACTCATCCGTGAACAAGATGATGTAACATCTAACTAAATACACGCCAAAAGTCTGCGATAAAGAAACCACACACGTAGGCGCCACTCATTAATTAAATTATGTAACACACATTTTCGAAGTCTGTGAATAAAAAGAGCACGGGGGCGGCATTCAAAAACCAATTTGAAACATGAATCACTATAATTACCCTAACTAACTAGATTAGACACAAAACAAATCATATCCACCTAACCTGGCCGACAACAGCACTTGTACTAAAAGCGAAAAGCCTTGAGTACCAAGAAAAATGAAGGAAAATAGTCCGTTAGTCCCGACATGAGATCTTCTGTGAACAATCTAATCACCGAGATTACCTCAGCAGTGGCAAAAACCTAAACATATTTAACATGTACGTTAAGCTTCAATATGCCACCAGACCAACAAATCACTTAAAGTGACGTGCCATCCTAGCGAGAATGCACCCCGACATATTACATTGTATAACTACCAGAGACAATTTCAGGACTAACTATGGAAACATACCACCGCTGCGTAATCAGTCAGGCAACCGGCCTTAGCCTGCAGTCCCCCCCCCCCCCCTACCCATGCTGGGTTATACAGTCACACAATAAAACAATTCTGTATCTACTCTAATCTGTGTGGTTAATTAAGCAATAATGTATTCACTATAATCTCTTTGATCAATGAAACTATAATGTTTTACTATACTCTGTTTGATCAGTGGAGAAGTAGCGTATTCACTACAATATGTTAGTTCAATTAGGCATTACTTAATTTACTCTAATCTGTGAAACAATACAGTATTTGCTCGAATATATTTGTTCAATGAAGCAATAATATACCTACTCTAATCTGTTTATTAACTAAAGCATTGCTGTATTTACTCTAATTAGTTTGATCACTGAAGCAATAACGTTTTTTTTTTTTTTTTTTAATGATCTGTTTCATCAATAAATCAGTAACTTATTGACTCCATTCTGTTTGCTCAATAAAAAAAAAATTACGCATTGACTCTAACCTGTTTGATCAATAAAGAAATAACCTATTTACTCTAACCTGTTTGATCAATTAAAAAAATTACGTATTGACTCTAACCTGTTTGATCAATAAAGAAATAACGTATTTACTCTAACCTGTTTGATCAATAAAGAAATAACGTATTGACTCTAACCTGTTTGATCAATAAAGAAATCATCTTTATGCACAAAGATTATGCTCACTACTAATGAGCTCTACGTGCTGTAATAACTTGTATCACTCCGCATATCTTATTCAGGGATTGCTTCCCCATCGACATCCCACCTGGTGATCCGGTGTTCAGCAACTGCATGGAATTTTTCAGGTCGCTTCCGACAATGGACGAAGATGGCAATACCCTCAGTATGTGATCTCTGTATGCTTTTGCGGCACTCCTAACGATAATGATATGTTTACTGCTAATGTTGATGTCGTGTCAGTGTTATGGAAGTGTGTGCTGTCAGTGCTATAGCGGTGTGTGTTGTCAATGTTATAGAGCTGTGTGCTGTCAGCGATATAGAGGTGCATGTTCATTGATATAGAGGTGTGTCACTGTTGTGATACTGGTAATGTTACTTTTATGTCACTCCTTATGTTGATGTTGATAGTAAGAGGTGTGCAAATTGATTATTATCGAGCCTGCTTCAGCTTCTTTTAGCTCCCTTTAGCTCCTTTCAGCTTTTTAGCTCCTTTTCGATGCCTGCAAAAGCAGGTGCTGGTGGCAAAGGTCTGGTCCTGCCGTGTATATTTTTTAACAGTGAAACAATTTGGACACATGATGCTAAATGTTTTTTTAGACAAAATGCAGGAAGTTCTGGGGTTAGTTTGCCTTGGCGGTGTTTCAGGTGAAGGCGTATATGGGTTATTGAGGGTCACGACTGGGATAATTTTGGCAAAGGAGGCGAGTGTGGGATCCTGGGAATAAGTGCAGGTTTTAGTGGTAGCTAAGCGACGATATAGGCGATCTCATTTTAGGTTTGAAAAGCATCCTGCAGATTTATTTATGTTCGCAAAGATTGATTCTGCCCCAGTTATTGTCAAGCGGTGCGCCTCCCTACGGCTAAGTTGTGGTCTGATAAATAGACAAAACATCGTCAAACCCATAGACCCATTTTGCATCTTTTGGCTGAGACCTTTTTTTGGAATTTGAAAACATGTCCCAAATTTAAGGGAAGCCCGCGTGAAAATCGACAAAATCCTTAGGGATCACCGGAAGTATTGAAGTTATGAGGGAGAGCAGATAGGGCAATAAAATAAAGATTAATAGATAGGGGGTCTGTAAAAAAACCAAGTTTGCCTTCTAGGGAGAAAAATAATTTTTTTGTAAATTTTAATAGTAGAAAAAACAAACCAAAGATATTGGAAGGCAATTATTTACATTGCTTAAAAAAGGTACTTCAACGCGTTTTCTGACTCTAACATAGCACAAGATTTTAGTAATTTCTATGAACCCGAAATAGAACATTAAAGAACAAACCCAAAAGTCCTTGTGATTATCTGCTTTTTTATTTTGCCAAATAAATGCTCCCAAGATTTCCTTCTGATGAAAATCCATGTCGTTGCTGATGTGTTTACACATCCAATAGCCTCAGAAAAAAGCAATGCATCCGTTTTTGACAAAATCAAAATAAGATCCTTCGCAGTGCTGAAGGATTTGTGAGTAAACGACTTTTTTCTACAAAAATGTTTGCCCCAAAAAACTACTTCCCATCAGCATTTAAAAATTGCCAAAATTTATCCACCCTAAAAAGGGTTGCTTAGACAGTGCACCAGGAACTGTAGACCCATCCCCTGTTATATCTTTATCAAAACCAATAGAGAAAAAAAAAACATACAGTAAAATTTCAATATTTGACTGCAACAAATTGAAGGAAAATGCAACAAATTGTCCTGAACCTGCAACAAACTTGCACTATAACTGCAACAAAATTTTCACAATAACCAATCAGGGTTTTTACAAAAAATTTTCAACTGCCTTAACCCAAAAATAAAGAAAAAGGCATTGAACATTAAAAGATGAGAAAATGTTTCTAGGGGGATTAAAAACTTGGGGAAAAAACCCCAAAAATAACCCCGGGTTTTTTGTGTGTGGTCTCTCTCTTCTCTCTTCTCTCTCTCTCTTTTCCCCCTCCTCTCTTCTCCTCTCTCTCTCTGGCCCGTTCTATGCCCTTTAAGGTAGCTCTATGTTTTTGGAGATCAGCTTTGTACTGTTTTCTACCCCCCCAAGTTTCCCTGTCCCCCTTTTGTTGCCTCTGTCTCTGGTTGATCCATTTTATGCCACCCCCTCTCTCTTTTCTCTCTTCTTCTCTCTCTCTTCCTTTCTCTCTCTCCTCTCATTTGGTAAGTACGTCTTGGTTTCGTTTCCCTCCCGGTGGCGTTGCGTTGTGTGAGTGCCCGGACTGCACGTGTGGTGTCTGTAGGTTGGGTTGTTTGTGTTTTTTGAGCGTGTGATGAGGTGTATGTATGTTTTGATGATGTTATTTGTTTTATGTATTATTATGATGTATGTATGTATTATGTTATGGGATGTAGTATGTATGTATTGATGTATGTATGTATGTATATGTATTATTTTTATGGTTTT